AGGGCTACAGGGAAGCGCTACGCTCTGTGCAGCCCGCTGCCGGCCCCGGTCCCTGCCCCGCGCTCGCCGCCGCTCCTGGGACGTGTTGCAGAGAGGGGAGCGGGGCTCGGGCAGGCGGCTTTGGAGATCTCTGGGTTGCAGACTGATTTTTTTTAACATCTGTAACCTCAACCTGGAATCAGAAGGGCACTAGAGGTTTTGGAGTGCTAATATCAAACTCTTTTAAAAGGACCCTGCCTAGAATGGCTGAAGTACCCCCCGTGATTTCCCTGGGAATTTAATGCATTGTCTCGTATAGAATGTGTGGAACTAACCCCCTATATAATGAAAAGCACGAGTAAAAAAGACCTTCCGGATTTTTGTACTGTCTTCAGCATTATAATAGGTTGTTTTGTGGGGGTTTTTTGTTTGTGGTTTTTTTTTCCAGTTGGGATGAAACTCATTTTGGAAAGATGGGAAGTTACTACATTAATCGAACCTTCTTCTTTGATGTCCACCCCCCTTTGGGGAAGGTAAACTACTCTTCTGTTACATGTTTTAGAAGCCACAGGAGTGGGCCAACAAAAGTCTTCCCCATCCTTCTGACTGAAGGATATGATGAACACCAGTATCTTTCCTAACTGTTGGTGATGCCATGGTTATTTGCACTCTCTACGCAGAGCCACAACTTGCATGTTTTCTTCTTTATGAAAAAGCTTTGACTATGGGAAAACAAAACAGTATTGCGTGTTGGGTATTTGAAAGGATTGACATTAAAAAATGAACATGGCACTTATGTGGTTTGAAGGGGATATTTAATAGAAGCGTACAGTTCAAAGGAACCAAACAGTTCCTGATAGATTGTGTGTAAATGAGACTCCTACCACAAAGGACACTGAAAACCTTGACTTGCTGTTCTGTAACTAGAACTTGTTTTAGCAGCAGTGTGTGGTGTTGATGAAGGTGCACTCCTCCTGCCTCATAAAGATGATCTTCCTTTCAGGCTGAGTCTCCTTAAACTATAGGAATAGGGAGCTATGGGAGAATCTACAGAGACAGAATTCTCCCTGCTGTATCTGACACCTGATACTTCTCTTGAACTTGCAGTTGTCCTTATAGTCAGCAGCCAAAGTTCTTTTATTCCCTTCTTATTTTGCTTTTAGACAAAGGGCAATATGTATGCATATGAAATTTGTACATAAACTTTGTCTGGATGATGTGTCTGAATTAGGTAGTTATCCTCTGGATCAGACTTGGCTTCTATAAAAATCTTACCTGCTGCTGGCTTGCATACATCTTCCTCTAATGCCATTTCCCTGACCAGTTTTTTCACCTTTCTTCTTCAGATGCTGATTGGACTTGTGGGCTACCTTAGTGGATATGATGGTACGTTTCCTTTCCAAAAGCCAGGGGACAGGTATGAGCAGCACAACTACGTGGGAATGAGAGGGGTAAGGCTCTACAGGCTAGTATCAAGCTGGTTAGCTCTCCTGTGCTTTTCAGTACAGAGTGTTATGTCATAAGAACAGCTCTCCTGGATCAGATCAGAGGTCTGTTTAGCTTCGTGCCTTGTCTTTAAGCTTCTTAGAAAAGTGTTAGTGGTTGTATTGTGAATAAGTCTTAACGTCTGGCTGCAAGAGAGGCCGGGTAAGAAAGTAAGGTGATTGTTGAGGCCAACCCTTGCTACTAATTAGTGGGACTACACTCCTGTGGGGGACAGATGTCTTACCTGTTCTGCAAAGAGAACTGAGCTTGGGCTTCTGCTCACTCCATTGTGCCTGGCTGCTCTGTTGGGGAGCTAAGGATGTCAAAAAGCCAGGATTGTCCACTGCCGCCTTCAATTTGCCACCACCAGTGACACTGAGCTGAGTAAGCTGATGGAGGAGGGAGGTGGGGTGGGATGCGGAATTACTATTCAGAGTGATATTCTATCTGAAACCCTCGCTGTACTGCTATCTAGGAAGACCAAGAGCTGTAAAACTGACAGCAGATAATACGAGCCAAAAAAAGAAACAGTGGCCAATTGCTAATGCCTAGAAAGAAGGATAAAAACTGGGGAGGTGTATTTTCTCAGTTTACTTTCTGTGTCTCCAGCAATTTGGGAGCCAAAGGTGGGAAAAGTGCTAGAACCAGATACTGAAGAGAACAAATTTTACTGTGATGCAGCTTTCTTTTGTTTTGCTTTCCGTTCCTTCTCCTCCAACTATCCTCATTCTCATTTGTGTAGGGGAGATATTTCTAGTCTGGTAAAGATGTAAGGTAGAGATGTATTTTGTTCTTAGATTTCATATTATCTTGTTAAAATAAACTGAGTATGGTGGATGTGTAGCGCACCTACTTGACGTATCTTTTTATGAATATCTGATGTAGTCTAGCATGAGAATGACTGACTGTTGTTACTGACACTTCTGGAGATAGAACAGAGTAAGTAACTGTGCTTCTCTGAACCGTATCTTTGTTCATTTGGCTTTTGTCTGATGTTCTTAGTGAGTCAGTTAAGCTACTGCAACACCTCCTGTTGTTGGTAGGTGCGGAAGATGAAAGAACAGAAAAGGTGTTAGTGCGTGTTCACCTTAGGGAGGGTTGTAACTTCTCCCATGGTCTTCTTTTCCTGCAGTTCTGTGCATTCCTTGGCTCCTGCCTGGTTCCCTTTGCCTACCTCACTGTGCTGGAACTGTCAAAGTCACTGCCAGCAGCCTTACTGACAGCTTTCATCCTTATTTTTGGTAGGTGGTTCCTGCTGCAGCAACATTGAGCAGGTTAATTGTTCAGGGAATTTAATTTCTGGATTATTGTGCATTACCTAGCCAGGGCATATGTAGGTTAATGAGAGAGGTTCTCAAACGCAAAGTAATTCTGCTTTATATATATGAGGCTTTTTAATCGGTGGTCTTCCTGAGAATTTTAGTCTTGTTTAGTTCATAGGTGCTTCTGTTATGTGCACAACCACAGCGTTGGACTACATTTCACCTCGCTTTTAAGAATTTTTATAAGATGGATAGTCAGGAATGATTTTGCCCACAAGTGAAATATTTATATCTCCCATATGAATTATAGAGGCATTTAACAGCTTACTGCTTTACTGTGGAAGAGTTCACAGTAAGAAATGAATAAAGTTCCTTGTTGAATTGAGCCAAGTGGAGAAATTAACATTGCAAATGGAGTTACCCAAATTGGGGTTTCGTGAAGACACACAGATATTGAGGTGTGGAGACGTGAAATATCCAACTCATACTCATTTTTTCTAGATAACATCTGAAAGATGACTTCTCCTGTAGCATCCTCTGGCACCATGCTGGTGCCTTAGTAGGTAGATCATTGCTGTCTGTAACGCTCTCCGTCTGAATATGTTAGCAGCACCTCCCAAATGGTGTTTCACGGATGCTGGGTTTTGTGAGGGGTTTTTTCATTTATTACCCAAGTAGAATTTGAAATGTTCTGATCTACTTCTGTTTCTAAAATTTCCCTTGTTATCCTTGTCTTGACTACGCCGAGGAAACTGGCTTCCTGCAATCTTAGATTCGCTTTGGAACCTCAAGCCTTTTTGACATTGTTGTGCATCTGTTTGCAGATACAGGCTGTATTACTTTGTCCCAGTATATTCTGCTGGACCCCATTCTGATGTTCTTCCTCATGGGAGCTGTTCTGAGTATGGTGAAATGTAACAGCTGTGCAGACAGGTAAGATAAAGATGATAATTTTGTTAAACTATAGGTACTCAACTTTCACACAGATAAAGTACTGGAATATGTCTGCCACTTGGTAGGCTGAGTGAATGGCTGAAATTAGAGTGTTTCAGGAAATTTGGAGGTGAAAATGGCTCATGGTGGGGGAGTGAAATTTTTAGCGTGAGGGTTTGTGAAACTAGAGAGAAAATATCATGGCTGGGGTAAACCAAGAGAGAGACTTAAATAGATTATTTTAGCATGAAAGGAAATTTCAGCAGAAATAGTGCTTATGGAACTGCGAATCTTGAAAATGAAGGTTAAAGCTTTTTAGAACTTGACAGGAAAGAAAGCTAGTATAGAGCGTTGTAGGTCAGAAGGAGGAGTGAAGGATGGGTGGAGCCTGTTCAAGGCTTTGCTCCTTAATGGCGAAATATGAATTTGTTATCTTGAACTAGTCACTTTGTCTCCAGGCTGGAGAACTGCAACTTATCTGTGACTGTAATCCTATAAGCACTTATAAAATCCTGCTGGCTGAGGTTAATAATGTAATTTGTTGGATTTAGAGAAATTGGTACCAAAAATTTGGGAGAAACATAGCCAGGATGTTTTTGAATAAAGCAGTTAAGTTGCTCAGGATATTTGCTGTAGACCCATTCAGAGGAAGATGGTTGGTGATTTATAGATATTTGGTTATGTTAAAAGGCTTCTTTGTGTCTGGGCTGTACAGAGTAGTTTCCCCACAGTGCATCCAGAATTCAAAGACATAAAAGCTTAGAGCACTGTGTTATACATGAGCAATTTTTGTTTCATGGTATGTTCAAGAACTGATCGTATCAATTGTAGTGTGACTGCAGCACCTGTGGCTAAAATGCAGCCTGCAGCGTCATGTGTGGCCGTCCAAGGCCGTGATCATCTACAACACGTGCTGCAGGGAGTGCAAGCACTGAGTTACAGGGCAGTGTTTGATCAGTTCTGTGTGCCTTGACCTGGACTTATGTCTTAGAGCTAATCCTGTGTTCAAACTAGTTGATTTTATGCAAATTAAAAGCCAGCTCTAGCTGTTACGTTGCTTTGCAGGTCATAGGGATTTTGTCTAGGCAAAACACAAGTGTCAAGGCATTTGGAGTCAGTAGGAAAAGGGTTTTAAATTCTGCTGTTATCTTTTCTCATCTTTTCTCTGTGGTTCAATTTTAGTTTAGTTTGTAATTTGTTTGATTTTTGCCACAGCTTTTGTTTGTGCTTTGGGTAGATGTTTTCCACTAGGGCCTTTCTGCTTTAGAAAAAGTAGCTATTCTTTTTCTCCTGTTCTTTCCCATGTCTTTAGCTTTCTGAGAGATGTAAGTTTGCATTTTTTTGGAGCAAAAGTCCTGTTTCTATTTTCAGACCTTCCATGTGTCAGACTTTCTTCACACTAATATTTTAGCTTATACCTGGTGTCTATGTTCCCTTCCTTAAAGGGAAGGTCTAGGACTGCCCAGGGTTAAGTGTTGGGCCCTTCTGAAGCCTGTATCAGAGATATCCTTGCATCATTCTAAAATTAATGAAAAAAATTATCTTCGTATTCCTCATGGGCTCCTGAGAAGAAGATGGAATGTAATTTTGTGGTGTAGCCAATTTGCTGTGTGTTTTCCTGATTGCAGATGCCCGTTCAAGTAGCCATCATTTATTCACTGACCTGCTCTATCTGTCCTTCAGGCCATTTTCTGCCTCCTGGTGGTTCTGGCTGAGTCTGACTGGCGTGAACCTTGCTGGAGCAATGGGGGTAAAGTTTGTTGGCCTTTTTGTAGTCCTTTTGGTTGGCCTGAACACAATCTATGACCTATGGGACTTGTTGGGGAACCTCAGCCTGTCACTGGTGAGTGTCAAAAACTTTTGTTTACATTACTTTGGTTTGATTTGCTTTCTTTTGCCTTTGTAATTCTCCTAGTTATTGACAACCATGGAACTAGCCAAACAGTGCTACTCTATCTGCAGCAGAGGCATCTGAAGTGGATAATGAAGATTAAAGAAGGAGGTTATAATGGAAAAACTTGCCATATGTTTAAAAAAACGCCACGTATGTCAGCAGGATATAATGTCATAAGAGCACAGCAAAAAGTTTGTTGCTTTTTCTCGAGAGAAACTATTACCTTTCCAGTTGGATGAATTTTATTTCAGTCTAGGTTAAAAATGCTCATTGGGAATGGCTGTACAATGGCCCAAAGCAAGATGATGTCCAGCACTTACACTTCTGAGGAGTACATGGTACCTGGCAGAAAGGCATATCTTGCAGCATCTAGTTTGCGTAAGCAGCGCAAGCGCAGGCTCTGCTTCACGAGAGTGCGAGGGCACAGGCTGCATAGCAGGAGCATGTTATAGTCCATCATGAGTCAGAGGCGTGCTCTGCCACTGGCAGTCTCTGTAGCCAGTCCTGAGAACGAAGGCAGCCATAGCCTCCTCGATTTCACACACATTTAGTTCTTATAAGCTGTAAGAAATTGGCTAGTGTGTTTGGGTACCCTGTTCTAATATATTGGATTTTATATTTGTGGACTGTGAAATCTAGTATTTGGAGAAATACGTTGATGTACCATTTGCTATCTTGCAACCAGCAAGAAAGCAAATTCTTCAAGCATATCTTTTAAAAGATGTTCAGTTCTCCTCTTGTCTCAGCCTCCTCTGAAGCTTGAAAATTCTATATCTTTCATGTAGTGTTTTTTGTCCTGTTTGTCTCATAAACAGTGGGGGTTCTGGGGGACTTCTTCTATTCCTGCTGTGTGATTTGTTTTCTCTGATTAATGTGAGTCAATATGGGCTGCAAAGATGCAGTGTTCCAGCTCTGGAGCAGTGCCTCTTGAGCAAAGTCAGTTAATTGCATTTGAAATGGAACAAATCCATCATGTCTAAGCTTTCTGCCAGCAGACGGCTGCACAGTGATTTCATTTGTGCTGCTGGTAGCAAAGGCAGCAAGCCCCTGAGTGTTAGAATATGTAAAGAAATTTGCTCCAGAACATAGATGCTTTCTGAATAACTACCTATTTGGCAACCTTGGTGCTTGAGGAGAGGAAAGAAAAAACAAGTGAGGATTAAACCCCTGAAAGCCCGAATAACTTATCTCTCCATGTGTTAGGAAACTACTCATGATTATTTACAGGCAAGGTTTTTGGAACTAACTTTATTTATAGAATTTTCAGCTTATCTTGGTCCACTATTCTGGTTTGCTCTATGCTGTCCTTCACGTTCATTTCGTTTTTTGACTTTGCATTGAAGTCTGAGGTAAAAAAAACCTTTTCACAAAGATTGAAGCATATTGTGGGCATTTTGAGCAGGGAACTGAGTTTAGTTCTTATGCCTCTCCACTGCATAAATTTGTTTATGCACCTTCAATCAGCATTTCTCCAAGTGCCCAGGGGTTATTAAGTGTACTGCTCAAGTACTTGAGCTGAGCAACTGTTTCCTTTGTTGTCTTCAGTAAGTTCTTAGTTTTGTAATGTGTTCAGCTCTTTTGCTGTTACTTCTGAAATCCTTGAATCTGTTATTAAGGGATGGAGGATGATTATGTGATAGGTATATTGTATGATAGGTATGTATGCTTTGAAGTTAGGTGTGGACATTTGACAAACAATTTTAGGTATTTAAGTTGTTTTCTTTTCCCACAGCTGTTTATTACCCACCTTATATTTTAGATTACTACTAGCAGTGTCGGTAGAATGTGAATATGTAATCGTATCTTGGGCATCTGTGTACAAACCACCTTTCAAAGGGATTTAAATAAAATGCTCTCCTTTTGTATTGAGGCAGCTAGAAACACTCACAGGTTTTGCTGCTGACTTTTCTGTAACTTCTGGCTGACAACCAGCAGCAAAAGTTGCAGTGTGAGAGCATCCTTGCTAGGTCACCTGGTTTCTGTGAACGCAGCGTATCTAGGTCCTCGGGAAGTCCTTGTTGCAGTCATATTTGCATAGGGAGACTTGTGGGAAGGATTGTATCTAGTAGCTTGTGCCTGCATGTTTTAATTTTCCCTTTTGCTTAGCTTTGGCAGTTACTATTCTGGAAGCCATCTCCTTGCTGCGATTTTGTGTCAAGATGCATACTGCTCTGATAAATAAGTTAAGGTCCTTGTTTTCCAAGTATTGTCAATGGCAGATGCCCAACCTCCTTTGCCAAAGTCAGGCATGCCCAATATTTTTTGAAGTTAAACTCTCCTATTGTCTGGTTTTGTCTTCCTACCAAGGGCCTGAAATTCCGAGATACCCCAGCTCCAGCTTTTGTAGATGCACAAACAAGGTCTGCCTAAGCTTCTACTGCTCTCTAGGCCTTTTGGAGGTAATTTTGCACCCTGCTGGGCTTGCTTGCATGGTAGGCTTCTGCTATAGGACCACTGCTCAGAGTCCTGTGAAATAAGGAGTGGAGTAGTTTCTGCAGCTGCACTGTTTGATCCAAGTTGTTTGTTACAGGTCATGTTTGGGAAGCATTTACTGGCTCGTGTACTCTGCCTCATCCTGCTCCCACTTGCCCTCTACACGGCTGTGTTTGCTGTTCATTTTACAGTATTAAATAAAAGGTATTTCACAATGTTTTCTCCAGAAGAATCACTTGTCTTTGCTTTGAATTAAAGGCTATTGATTATGGATTTCTCCATTTTCAATGTCAGAAGCACAGCCACAAGCTGTGTCTTTGTTTAATTCCCTTCCCAGACTGCTGCATTGTTTTTAGAGAAAGGCTCTGGCCAAGCTAGCAGTGAAATCGAGTCTGACTTTCTGAAATGCGAAGCAAGTATCCTAACCAAACTCAGTCTCCTTTTTTTTCCTCCTCTCTTTCCTGGACCTGTAAATGTCTCAACTCCATTTTTTTGTTTTTGCTTTTGTAATTTAATAAAAAGGCACTGCGTTCCTTAAAAATGCTTCGACTGTGATTAAAGAAAAAAAAAAGTCTTGAGTGTGCCGAAAGGGAGGACTTTTCTCTGAATGCCTGCACCCAAGAGATGCTTTTTATGTGGAAAAAGCACAACAGCTAGTAAAATGGCCAAGTAATGTTTTTCCATATGTCAGCATTAAGAGATGAGGTAGATAACCATTTCACCATGAAAAAAGATGATAGAATTAAATTGTTATTTTTCAGTTTAAGTCAACTGGTCTTACCACTACCCTCTTAGCAGAAATGAGACTTAAGGATCCACAGAGAAAGGCTTTGTTATATCTAAGCTGACAGTGAGTCAGGTTATTTGTCGTAAGAACACCTCCAAAGATAGTTGATGGTGCTTTGTGCAGTGTCAGTGTGTACATTTTTGTGACCTCAGGTTCTTGCAGCTCTGGACAATTTCCTGCAAGACTGTCTCTATCTGCTGTAATTCACAACATTAGAGGTGTGTGTGTCTAAGGGAACCACAGTCATTCTTGATGCAGTCTCCTGATGTCATGTCTGGTTTTATCTTTTTCTTTCTGTATAAACAATTCAGTAATGCATGACAGAGCTTTGTGTGCCTGTTTTGCCAGGCTTTGAATTGTAACATTCTTTACTCTCTTTTGTAGTGGTCCTGGGGATGGTTTCTTCAGTTCAGCATTTCAGTCCCAGTTGATCGGAAACAATCTTCATAACGTCTCCGTTCCAGAGCGTGAGTGTCCGAAGGAATAAAGCACTTTGAGTGTTGTCAATGTACGTGGCGGTTTAAATGAAAACAGCATCTCCTGTGAGTCAGTGCAGGACATTGCAGGTTATGCCTTCATAGTCGTGGTCAGATATATGCTGTTCCTTTGTGCAGTTTTGTATATTGACCGAAAAGAAAAAATCTGAAAATAACACTTTGTTTAGTGCAGGGTCACTAGCTATTTCATCATATTCCTTCTAGACGGCAAGATGCCATTTTGAGGGATTTGACAGTTTGATGTGCATGCATCTTTATGTTTTTTGGCCTTTATGTTGCTTGAGACAACAAAAAGAGATTTGTCCTGTTCACCTTAGGTTTGCAGGTGTTCAAATGTGGGATTTGTTTCCAAAATGTGTGTAAAGTAAGACTATTGACTCCTTTGTGACACAGTGTGCCCCTGGTTCAGCTGTTTTGTTTTCAAGCATGCGTATGAATTTAGGTGAAAGATGGCTCTGTGGTTGTTCCCTAATCCTCAGGTTGGCTAGGGACTACTGAGCCTTTCATATGGTTTAGATTTGCGATTACTTCAGCTTTTCGCTGGCTGTTCCCTGCTCCAGAGCTGCTACTGGAAGAGCATCAGGTCCGTTTTCCAAGACTCTGTTCTCCCACTTGTGTTGGGAGGCTGTGAAGAAAGGTGTATGAAGCCAGGGTATCAGCTCCACTGTCTGATAGCTGAGCTTGCCTCCCTTCCCTCTTGTGTTGCTATAGGGGTTGGGCAATGGAGTGCTTTAGACTAGTCACATGCTTTTCAAACTCGTTCGTGTTTTAATTTGACCACATGCTCTTACAGAAAGCTATCGCAAACCTCTCATTATTGAAATTACATACAAAAGAGCTAGCGCTTCTGTTTATGTTAAAACTAGGTGGGAGAATTTCAAGTGTTTCAGCCAAATGTTATTTAACAGTTTTACTGAATCCTTGTGGGGGATGGAAGATAAGCTTGCAGTGAGCTGTGTGGAGTAGTGTCAAACAGGAAATGGACTGTCATCAAAACAAAGTGGGAGAATGCATGCCTAATTGGAGCACTGAAGACTAGCTGGGGGAGATATTTGTAGGAGAGCTTCCTTATGCCTTTTTTCTCCGTCCTTCCTTCCCATGTAGACTTGGCATACGGGTCTGTGGTCACAATAAAGAACCTTCGGATGGCAGGGGGATACCTTCACTCTCACTGGCACCTGTATCCGGAGGGTGTTGGAGCTCGCCAGCAGCAGGTTAGTGTACTGTGGTAGTACTGCCTCTGACTGCAACCATCAACTCACTCCTGTTGCCTCAGCAGTAGGTGCTGTTGTGACAGGAGCTATATATTTATTTGGCATCTGTTACCCTCTCAGTGACACAGCTGTACATTTGGCTTGGAAGCCTTGAGTAAAAAGGATGCTTGAAGAGAGCCTATCACACTGCACCAGAGAGGTGACTTACAGTAACAAGGCTTCATTGTAGTAGCAAGACCACCCTCCATAGATGGAGGCCAAGAGGACTTAAAAATAATCTTCCATAATGCAAGTGCTGTTGTTACCTCAAGGACGGCCGTAAAACTTATGTTTTAATCAAATACATTACTTTATCTTACAGGTTTCATTGCTGTGTTTTAAAAGCAACAGAATAGGGCTGCTGTGTGTTTTTTTCACTCCTGCCATTGGCCTCTGTGACCTTACATCAAGTAGTCTCCTTTTGTGCCTTGCTTTCCTCATCTTTTGCCAAAGAATTTGTAAGGCTTTGCTCATCATACGTTTGTAAGCTAGCCATAATTAAACTATCTCAACTCTAAGGGCTTCTGATTAAATGATTAATCAATAAATCAAAGTAAAAATCAGAAATCATGTAACTATTGCTAATGAAGTAGTACAAAAATTAAGTGAATTTATTTTTGTCCATTATCAATCATCAAGCTTCACAAACCATTGCAGCTCCTGCGGCTTTCCCAAGATGTATTTTGCAGCTTGCATGTTAGTGTCTAAAAATTGTTCTGAGATCCTTGAAAGAAAGTTACCAGAGAAAAACAAGTATTTATTTTTAACTTCCTCTCAGTGGCAGGAAGTTTTCAGAAATTAAAACTTCGTCTCAGTCTTCTTTTCCTGCTGTTCTTCCCAACCAAAAATTCTAGTGCTCTTATGTAAGATTGATGTTTATTACTGTAGATGGAGATGTCTTACCAAAACTGGCTCAAGGATAGGCAAAATTCAAGTGCAGAGCATGCTTTATGACACTAAAAGCAGGGAAAGGGGATTTGGAGAGGACCCTCATGGGAGTTTCCGTGAGGCTAAGTGGGAAAGAGACCCTCTCTGTGCTCCCTGCCCTGGATGTAGGCCAAAGAGTAGGGGGCTGGCACAGTTTGGGGGCTGCAGAGAGGGGAAGGGAGTTTAGAACTTGAAGGAGATTTAGGGAGGAAAAGATGAAGGCAGTGATTTCTATGCCTCCTCCTTTCCCTTCTCTCCTGATGATATAACCTCAAGGTATAAGGTTCCACCTCCAGTTTTCCCTTTTTCCGTACTCTCAGACACTCCTGTATGTTCTGCCTCTCACCACCCACTGGACCAACTGCTCCCATATGAGTGAGAGGCACAGGTCTGGGACTGGTCTAGGGTCCTGCAGAGCAGGGCTTGCTCTTGCTGCTGCTAGAAGATGAGAGCGAGCAAAGTGGGCACAGTTCCTCATGCTGCTCAGGAAGTTTGCTCTTGGAAGAAGCACCCTGGGGCCAGATGGTCTCACCTGCCCATGGTAACAGTAGGAGCAGTTACTCTGTGTGAGTCTGAGCAGGCCGGTAAGGGTTAGCTGGGTAGCACACGCAGCTTTAGCAGCTGATCCCTAAATCCTTCTTACTTTGCCTGGATCTTTTGGCAGAAGTATTATAGTTGTCACAGGCAGGCTGTTGTCACAAATCTCTACCAGTGATGCCTGTCTGTAAAGCCAGTGCCGTTTCCATCTCCTAGTTCTGGTACAGGTCTGTGATTGTTCAAAAAGTTCTGGTTTGGATATCCCGTTGTTGTAGAAGGAGCCTTTGAAGTAGAGCGAGAGGAGGGCAGGCTGTAAAGTTGGAAGCTGTTACTCATGATGCATGTGAACTGCCATTAAACGTAGGGCTCTTGAGTGCATGGGCTGTACACTGAATAAAAGGTGTGATCTAGGTTAAGGAGTGACCAGTAACTGACTTTCTAGAAGATACTATCAGAAAAGTCATCCTGGGGTTTCTGTGTTATTGGTGCATTCATTTGGGAATGTATGTCTGCTATCACCAACTTTTTTTGTGTTTGGTAAAATAATTTATCCTGTGCTTTCAGGTCACTGCCTACTTACATAAAGATTTGAATAACCTGTGGATTATAAAGAAACATGATTCAGATACAGGTAACAAGCACCAGTAAAGTGCCTTTTATGACTGCTGCTTCAGTTTTTCACTTAGATATTCTGAGTTCCCTTCATGGATATGAGGGGAAGAGGAGGAGGGTCAAGGGGAATCTTACTCCATCTTGATCAACGTTGTTTGTGTCTACTGTGTTTTCGTTTTTTCTCCAGACTGTACAGCTGAAGTAAATAAGCTTTTCTCAGCTGAAGGTTGCATTGACAACTTTTCATCTAGGTAGGGCTGCAAATAACAGAGAGGAAATTAATCTAAACTCGGTATTTTGTGGAATCTGTTGTTGTGGCTATTGGTCCTGGAGAAGTTGGCTCCTGGTACGTTCTGATATATTGTGCTCAACTGATTTGCATCGACGTTTGCTTGGGACAAAGTAACGTAATGTGAAGATCTATAGTTTGTACATACATCTGTTGTTTTAGAATATCATACAATCTAGCTGAGACATGTTTGTTCTGACAGTTTCCTTTCTTCACCTGCAGCATGTGTATATAAAGTTATCAAGAACTGTCTAAACAACAAAAAAAATTACAAATAACCTAGATATAACAAAATTATAAAACGACTCTTGTAACACTGATTATAGTTCATGAAATTTAAAAAAATATATATATATACACACACACCGTTTTGGTGTTCAGTTAGCCTGACCAGGCATCCTCTTTATTTAAGGGTAGCATGCATTGCTTGGGGCCGTGTTCTTTGGAGTATCCCTCAGGGCTGGTCTCTAAACTACAACAGTGGTTTACGCTAGGCTTAGAGTCGTCACAAATTAGTTTGCCTTGTATTGTCTGCTTGAGGCATGAGTGTTCCCAAGAAACTTTCTAAGACCCTGATTATGTTTCTCATGCACTGTTATGATGAGTTTGCCTTCCTTCAGCAGATCTGTCAGACCCCTCAAGCCCTGTGGAGTTTGTGAGGCACGGAGATACTATTCGTCTGGAACACAAAGAGTAAGGATGACTTCTGTGATTCAAAGAGATGGCGTGATTGAATAGAATTGGCCGGAGGTTTGTCTTGCTGGAGGCTACATGTTTAGGCCAGCGTGGAGAGGGCTGTGTGACAGGGGTGTCTGTATATCTGCGTTTCCAGTGTGGAAGTTGTGGAGTTTTTCTTCTATGGTTTATATTTTGAAGGGTGTCTGTTAAATGGGAAACTTTTAACAGAACCACACAACTTCATTAGAAATACCTACCTAAGCAGCAGAGGGATTTGTTCAGCCATGTCAGCTGCAATATTAAAGGTAGCTCTTCTGCAAAGACGCAGTTTCAAAACCCTCATTCTGTTGCTTGTCCCTGCTCTCTGAGTTTTCTGGGCAGATAGTGTGGAGTTTTTGTGAGTATACTGCGAGTGTCCTGTTCCTACATGCATAGGCAGTACCCACCTGCCGAAGTTCTCAACAGCGCTGAGGTCACAGCAGTGAATCACTTTGACGACAATGTTGGCTGGTGCCTTCCCTCTCTGTGTAATACCTGAGAGGAAGCAGGGAAACCCTGGAGACTTGATAGATCCTCATCTAGTCTAACGTCACTGTGCCACAACGCTCTGTGCCGTCGCAGCCTTGCTTTCTTAACAGAAGCTCTATAAACTTGTGAGCCTGGAAATCATGTGGCATTGCATGCGGCATGGCGTGTCCACAAATCATTGCCTAGCTTCCCAAAATTATTGCTCTATTTTAGAAAGAAAAAAAAAAAAAGCCCTGGATGTAGGGTTTTGCTACCAAGTGCACGGTAGCGAGGGTGGTATCTCGCTGGGGCAGCACCGGTCGGGTCTGAGCGGGGCCCCGTGGCGGGAGGTGCCGCTGCGGTGGTGCGGCGCGGCTCCGGCA